TCAAGTGCTTTGATGATGAAGGGAATTAAAGAAGCTGCTTTTCTAAAGGTTCAAGTAAATAAATTGAAGAAGAAAAATGGTAGGAAAGAGAAATAGCGGAGTTCTTATTTGTTTTAATTATTTAGCAAATAATTGCAAGGATGAAATTAAGAATAAAGATAATGATGATGACGATGATGGCTTGTTGGAAATATTAATGGAAAAGATTAAAAGTAAATTGAGTGGAAGAAAATTCAATTCCGAAAACAAATCATCAATTATTGGTTTTTCTCTCAATTTTCAATATGAAACAACAATTGGCTTGACGAGAATACAATCACCACTGAATGGCCAATTTGATGCTCCAATGGATATTAAAATTGATGAAAAGAGAGCATTAATTCTCGTCTCCGATTGTGGTAATAGGAGAGTGAGTGTCTTTGATAGCTATACAAAGGAATTTAAATTCAATATTCAATTGAATTCTCATCCGTGTACAATTCAATTGGATGGAGAGGATGGTTTGATTATTGCATGTGATAATGGACATGTTTTCATGTATGATTTGGAGTTGGGAAAATTCAGATGGAAAACCAGAGATGAATTTCACAGAGAGGATTCGTATTTGGGTTCTGTTTATGTGAATCGTGGAAGAGGCCATGTCTATATTGGAGATTTCAATGATGGAGGAGTCAGAGTGTTGGATATTGAAACAGGAATTGATATTAAGGGAGATTCTGAACTAATGACCATTTATTGGACTCGTTTTGCTGTTGGAGCTTATGGAATGGAAAGTTTGATGGATGAACGAATGGTCATTAGTTATTTTCTGAAGAATTCTGTCCTGATTGTGTTGGATTCGTATGGTGCTCTTCCTTTGAAATTGAAGAGCTCATTCAATGGTCCAAGAGGAATTTGTGTCGACAAGACGAATCAAAATATTTTCGTATGTGATGAAGGAAATGATAAGATTCATATATTCGATAGGAGTGGAAACTTTATTCGTTCATTTGGAGAGTATGGCACTTCGGTATTTTGTGGATTTTCTGGCTTATTCAGTTGTGCTATTAATTATCAGAGTGGTGAATTACTTGTCGCTGACACCAACAATTATAGAATTCAAATTTTTAGGTAGAATAGAATAACTGTAAACTTTTTGTAAGAAGTGAAAAAGCTTTTTGAAATCAAAATACCTTTGTGGATTGATTTTCTGTGAACATTGAACCAAGTTTTAGAACATTCAATGCTTTTTGAACTTAGTTGGATTCACCTGTCAACTTTCTGTTTTTTAAAATAAAAGCAAAAAATTAGCAAAACATCTCTAACATGTCATCCTCTAACGCAACAACCATAGAAATGTCCCAAACACAAAGAGACGAAATGAAATTCGTCATGTTGGGTTCCGGTGGTGTGGGTACGTTTCAATTCTAATAATAATAGTTTCTAATAACATTTATTATAGGTAAATCCGCAGTTACTATTCAATTCATCAAGAAGGAATTTAAATTTGGCTACGATCCAACCATTGAAGGTAAGTTTAAACATCCTCATCATAATTATTAACAACTCTTTCTCAGATGCCTACACTGTTCAAAGAACTGTCGACAATAAACCAGTTTCCATTAGTTTATTGGATACTGCAGGTCAAGAAGAATTTACTGTGAGTTTTTTATTTAGCAATATATTCTAACTTTCTAATAATTCAATTTAATATATCTGATCATTTAGGCCATGAGAGATCAATACATGAGAGAAGGAGATGTAAGTAAATATTTGTGAAATTTTCCAAATATATTAACATTAATTAATAGGGATTCATTCTTGTTTACAGCATTACAGATGCTTCATCATTTGAGGAAGTAAAGGATATCTATGGACAATTGTGTAGAAGTCGTGATGTTGGTGAGGAAGGTATTCCAGTATGTATTTTAGGAAACAAGATTGACTTGGAGGAAGAAAGAGTTATTTCTTATAAGGAAGGTGAAGGTTTTGCCAAGCAATTTGCCAAGTGTAAATTCTTTGAAACCTCTGCTTATAGAAATATCAATATTGAAAATGCCTATGATGCATTGGTAAGAACTGTCAGAAAGGAAAGAAATGGTGAATTTGATGAATTTGAGGAAGTTACTGAACCAGTTCCAGAAAAAACTACCAAGGATGGTAAACGTAGTTCAAAGAAGGGTTTCGCCTTGTTCAATTCATGTGGTAAGCAAAATGCTGAGAGTGATTTGTCTGCCTTTGAAGATGCCAATAAGTAAATCAATGTAAATAATAAACCTCCTTATTGTAAAGTAACTATTGATCATTAAGTCTATAGATATTTCTTTCGTTTTGGTTTTTGCACTGTAGCAGTGCCAATTTCTTGGACGTAGATATTATCATCCTTCTTTCGTTTGTATTGATTCTCAATTTCTTCATGTTCTTCCTCAACTGGATTATCAGATTCTCCATAGTTTTGTGTAAATTCAATGAATGAAAGTATTTCACTTGGATTTGTGGAAGGTTTTACCGATTTAATGGAATCATAAATATCCTTAGCAGTTACCTTTGCAATTTTCAATTTTTCTGGTTGCTTAATGTCCAACATGTTCATCTTTTTAGAGTTCTTTTCGTTTCTGGAACATGGGACTATGGTTCCATCGTTTGTTGTTTTGAAATAGTCAGAATTCATTGCTTCTCTTACTGGTTTCATAAGAGCATCCCTTATAATAATTCCAATATCTGCTCCTGAATATTGGTTGGTTAATTTGGCGAATTCATCAATATTTTCGTGTGTCACATCCACTTCCACACCTTCCAAGTTAACTCTGAATAATTGCTTTCTTGCATTCTCGTCAGGAAGAGGAATATAAATACGTTTTTGAAATCTTCTTCTCAGAGCAGGATCCAAATCCGTTGGCCTATTTGTGGCTCCAATGACAATAATTCCAGTATCTTTCATATCCAAAACATCTTGAACTTTTAGCAAGAGTTCAGTTTTCAGTCGTGAAATACTCTCATTACTACTTCCACCTCCAAGTCCCTCTCTTGATGATCCTACAGCATCAATTTCATCAATGAAAATTATAGCTGGTTGTCTCTTTTTTGCTTCTTCAAAAAGTGTCTTTACAAGCTTTTCAGATTCCCCCATGTATTTAGAAACTATATCACTTGAAGAAACTGAAAAGAACGTAACCTCTTTCATATTACTAGCCACTGCTTTTACAAAGAATGACTTTGATTAAATTAATATTCAAAAACTATTCAAAAAATTGATTACAAACCTTTCCAGTTCCTGGAGGACTACAATTTTCAATGAATTGAATTCTAAATAATTCCACTTACCCATATAATAGTATTGTCCTAATTGGCTTTCTCTCTCCAACAAATAATTGAGGAAATTGTCGAGGGAGAATCAATGCCTCATTGATCGTTTCTTTAGGTGCATCCATTCCAATTACTTCACTCCATGGAATCTCCTCTCTAGTATCCACAATACATTGCCGAATCATATTTTGTAAACTTTCTACCTCTTCCAATGATTGATTCTTCTTTCCCTCACTTTTCTTTTCACTTGCAGATTCTTTGATCAGTGATTTTCTCCTCTTTTCCTTTCCAACCGGTACTGATGTTGATGATTGAGAATTATTCGTTGCTGAAGAACCAATTGTTGATGAAACGTTCGCCTTTCCATGAATTAATTCCTTGATTTTTTCAGCCTTTTCCAAATATTCGTTAATGTACTTTTTTACTTGTTCCTTTGTTTTTTGTCCTTCAATATCTTCAATATTAATCAATTTATATAATATTATTTAAATAATATTTAAATAAATTGATGATTAAATAAATATATTTACATTTCAATCCGGTCATAAAATGTTTAATTCCCAAATAGTATTTATCCAATGCTTGTTGATATTGCTTCTTATTTTCATGTTCGAGAGCTTCGGAGAGAATTTCTCGTCCCTTCTCAATGAATTGATTCATTTTTTTTAAATTGTAATTATTTTACTCAACCCAGTCTTAATTGAAATGTTAAACACTATTGTAACGATAATAATAATAATAATTGAAATTAAAACAGTTTATTGTTCTTCAGAAACTTCATAATCAACATGAATACGTTCAACTTCCTTCAATTCCTTCATGATTGATTCGTTCATGTTATATTCGTATGGACCAAAGACACCCTTGGTAGTAATTTCTCCGTTCAAAATCTTCTTTGTAGCAACAGCACATGGATAACCAACAGTCTTGGCCATTGACATACCTCTTTCATCACCAAAATCGACCAATTTGGCAACAATGGTCTTCTTCTTACCTTCAGCAGTTTCAATAACAAAGGTATTACACATGAAGAGCATATCTCTTTCTCCTGGCTTGTATTCCATTTGTTCCAACAAGGTTTGAGAGAAGGTATCCAACAAGGTACCCTTGAATGGAGCAACCTTTTCACTGAACAAACCATAGAATTGGAATGCATGAGTGGCACTCTTGGCCTTTTCAGATTCTGGTTCCAAATTCAATTTCTTCAAGAGAGCAGCACTGAGAGCGGATTCTTCAACACTTTCAGCTCCGAGGAGTTCCTTCATGATTTCTCTCCATTGCTTATCCTTAATATCAGGTCTTGGAGTCAAGTCAACCAAACCAGCTCCAATGAAAAATTCAACAACTTCACAGTTACCCTTGAATCTCAAAGTTCCTCTCAAAACATCATCAGCATATTTCAAATTATAATGTTCCTTGAATGGAGTAGAATCACGATTTGGATAACCTTCAAACAATGGCATATCCTTAGCCAAGTTCAATTCTCTTCTAGAAGCCAAAAGCTTTGATGGTTCAACAACTCTAATTTCACCACCTTCAATCCACTTGGCAGTATTTTGCAAAGCCATCAAGACACCACGAGGAGACCAAGAGAATTTATACTTCATTGGATTATCAATGTGATCTGGATGAGGCAAACCACCACACCAACTGTAGAAGCTCTTAATCTTTCCTCCCTTCAAATCTTGTTCTTCGTGAATAATCTTGGTAGCAATCATGTGATCAATACCAGGATCAACACCAATTTCGTTCATTGAAGCAATTCCCAAATCCTTGAATTGTTGATCTAATTCACGCAAAGCAGGTGAAATATAACTTGTAGTGACCATATTCTTTCTGTGTTGAATACAGGCCTTGGCAACCAAGACGTGATAAGTGTATGGAACCAAGGAAATGGCCAAATCATGTTGACTAACCAATTCAGACAATTTATCATGTTCATTTTCAATATCCAAAGCAACTTGAGCAGTTCTATTCTCATAATCATGAGCATACTCCTTACACATTTCAATAGACTTGCTCAAGGTACGAGAAGCTACAGTAACAAAAGTATTAGTACCATCACGAGTGAGTGATTCAAGAGTGGTTCCGGCAACAAATCCAGATCCGAGCAACAAGACTCTATGTTGAGTAGTAGTGGTGGACATTTATATAAATTAATTATAATGATGAAGAAAATAAATTAATAAGAAAAAAAAATCAGTGAAAGAAATTTAGGCTTTGTTGTTCGCTTATTTTTTTTTCGTGGTTTTTTTTTGCATTCCATCACAAATTTCGCTTTTCTTGATACTTTGAAAAATCCGCTTGGGAGAATTATTTAATCCAGTAACTTTGCTTGATTAGTGCTATTGAATAAGGTTATTTGGATAAAAATGATACATAAGTTACAAGGGAGAAATTAAGGAGTTAGAGGGACCTAGTTTACAATGTTGAGAAAATCAGCATCTGATATTAATAACAGCTGTTTTCTGAAAACATTAGAAAATATAATATTTTTTCAATTTTGAAAAACCCAAAATTTTGTTCAATTTTTAGTAACATTCAAAAAAGAGTCACAAATAAACACTTTATAAAATTGTAGGACTTGTAGCTCAGTTGGGAGAGCAAGGATGATCCCCCAATGATCAGCTGTCAACACGCGACTATCAATGTAATGCATCAGTGTGAGAGTCTACAGTACTCTATGTATTACAATGAGGTTGCAAGTTGACTAATAGTAAGCTGTTTCATGTCAGCTGTGAATTATTTAACATACTTCCCCAGCTAGTGCACCCTGGTCGCACGATCGAAACGTGCCTGGTTCTACTTTTTTTCTTCTTTTGCAGTATTTGTAGATTATGAATCGTTTTGGGAAATGTTTTTTGAATTACCTTTTGAACGAAACTTGAAAGTTACATGCCAATCATTTTAATTGGACATGGTTAATTAAACTTTAAGGTTGTTTGTAAAAGGAGCGCTCATTTGGTGAACTGGCTACCAAAATAAATTCCATATTTAAAATCTGTGAGCTCAATTTGTTTTCAAGTATTCATCAAAAAAATAGACGAATCTCACAACTAATCCTGCAATGAAAAGAAAAGCTATTATTCAAAGTCAATTCATATGTGCAGGCTGCTGGTGCTGTGTCTTCTTTGTAGTTTGGATTGGTGTGAGTGACCTATCCAGAAATTATTGTAAAAGAAACCTTTCTTCCAATCACATGCACTGTTCGAAACTCAAAAATCCTCTCTTTCAAATGCTGTTTCAAAGATTGCACCTATTGCTCCAGTTGTGGGGGTGGCACCACATGTGATTCATTATCTATTACCCTCCCAATCAACTCAACCAAAGATTGCTGCGATGGATATCATTGTTGTGGTAGATGTTGTGATACCTGTAAAAGTTGTTCCAATGGAAAGTTCACCTCTCACTCATGTAATTGTCGATGCTGTAGTAGTGTGAGTGATAGGTTGTGTACATTGTCCTGTAAAGAATGTTGGAATCCAACAATTACAATGGAATATTTAACAGTGGAAAATGCTACGGTTATTTCCAGTATGAAGAAGGAATGTAAATATGATTATGGATGTGTGGAGGAGTATTTGGCAGCTTGGCCAGTCAATTCGTCCTCAACTTGTTATTATAATCCTTTGAATGTGGTTCAGTTTGCAACTACTAATGAGTATACACCTTACAAGTTTGGAATTATGTTTACATTCGTTGCACTTGTAATAAGTTCAATAATTTGGTTTGGTGTTGGTTTGGTAGCTCTTGGTATTTACTATTATTGGAAAAATGATCCAAGTTTGGATTTTAGTTTTAAAGGAAATTTCACGACTGGTAAAACCACTAATCATATTGCAACAACAGATACTCATGTTGATGTAACAGAAAATGCAGAAATTCCTTTGGAAGTGTTGGAAAATGCAAAAGACAGGTATTGAAACAACTCCTGAAAATGGTGAAACTTCAACTTTTCCATTAGAAAGCAAAACTGCATCCACAACATTAATTTCTAATCCAGTAATTGAAGAAACATTTTCAATAGTCGATCAAACAACTCAGAAAATTGCCACTCCTTATGTATCCGGATATCAACCAAATACTAGTTCAATAATTACCAATGAGAACGGAGCGTCCACTGATGCAAATGAAGCTGTTATTTACTTTTCGTATGCTCCTTCCACAAATCAAATACAAAGTAATATTGTTTTTAATAAATTGTGAATTAGTTCAGAGAAGAATCTGATGAAGAAGATCTCCAGAATACAATAACTACTTTCTATTTATTTAGTACTTTGGGGTATTTCCACCACCACCTCCACCATTATTACCAACACCAGGAATATAATTGAAAACAAAGATCATAATGAAAGAGTACAAGATGAATAAGGCAAAGTAAGCCATTGTCATAATTCTCATTACATTCTGAACTACAGTCTTTGAGACGAAGAATGTGAGGGCTGTTGAAATTAATCTCAACACTGGAAAGATCAGAATGAGAGTGCATCCAAATACAGAGTTGACAATGGAGAGATCACTCCATTGAGCACCAGTGGCACCGTATGTATAATTCGAATTGACTCCACCATCTGTGAAAATCAAGAATGGAACCACAATAAAGAAGAACATGACCAATGTTTCAAAATCTTCCTTCTTGATTCTTCTCAACCTTTCATAGGTTGATCGCTTATTATTCCAATCCTTTGGAATGTCATCCAAATTGGTTCTCCTAATATCTTCAAATAGATGAGGTTCTTGATCTCTCTCCTTACTCATCAAGACCATCATGACCTCCTGAACAACATATTTCACAAAGAAGGCAATTGATGAGAAGGAAAAGGCGTATAACACTGGAGTTATACGAAACGATGAAGCAGGTAACAAGGAAAGCATAGAGCCCATTTTCTTAATGTTGCGTTTCTAGTTCTTGTTGAGTTGTTTTTTTTTGTGTTGTTTACTTGCGACAAGAAGCACATTGTGCTGCGTGATGAGAATTTGTTTTACTGTTCGATGCGAGGTCGCATTGTTGTAAATTCTGTATTTAAGGTAATAAGGGAGGTTGTGTTTTTGAGGGGTAAACAGTAATAAGCGTAATGGGGACGGTAGTCATTAGAAAATTGTTCATTTTGGGAATCTTGTTGTATAACGGTCATTGAATATTACGACGCCAAAGGTGTTATGTTATTGTGAGTTGGCTTGTTTTTCAGGTTCAGCTAGAGTTGAGAATATACGCAAAAATGAAATTCATTAATGTAACATTATTGCAATATCAATAAAAACAAGCTCCCAACTAAAGTGATATCACAAAGGCAATCTGCAAAAAGACTACAGCACCACAGGTTCCCAAGTTGTCTCCAACCTCAGTACTGATGTGGCTCGACGATGCTTAACTTCTCAAATCGGACGGGATGAGGTGCATTCATCGTGATATGGCCGTAGCCATGTACAATCATAAAATATGAAATATAAAGGCATTCATGATGAATATAAATAAAAACGATTCAATCAAGTACCGACGAATAAATTACTAATTCAAAATTTTCCAGATTTATTTCCTTTACAAATTCTACCGTTCTATGGAAATTTAACAAATAATTTAATGATTTTGAAAAATCAACCGCCAAAAACTTCCACTTTATTCCAGACTAAAAAAAAATGAAAGTAAAGGCAAACAGAGTTTCATCCTCCAAAAAGACAAAAACCATCACACAAAACGGAAAGAAGATTTATCAGCCTCCACTCAATAATGCTCAACAAATTGCTAGGCGCCATCCCGATACATTCGGCGCACCATCAAGAGAAGAATTAAATTCCATACAAAAGGGAAGTCTGGTAAAGATAGGTTTTGTTGTTAATTGATCAATTTTTTATACTGATTTTATATTTACATATGTGATGGAGAGGAGAGATTTTGGGTTAAGGTTTTGAAGGTTTCAGCCAAATATCTGATCGGAATAATTGATAATGATTTGGTGAGTGGACAGGATTATACTTTGGGAGATTTGATTCTCTTCAAGAAGAATGAAGTTTATGAAGTGTTTTCTCAAGAAATAGAGCAGGAATTCTTGGAGCATTTAGACGAATACAAGGAAAATGGAATTGCTATCAATTTTGTTGAACCAACCTCAGAAGGAAGAAGAAAGAAACAATAAATTATTTGTACATTAACTTTGGAGTAGATAAGGAATCCTTTTGGCGAGCATATTCAATTAGTTCTAACTTTAGATCCATATGTTGAATCAGATAATAAAGCAACCTTGTGCCCTATTTCTGTTATAAGGACCAATAAGCTCAATGGCAGGATCGCTATATGAAACACAATGACCTTCCTTTGCATACTTGATCAATTGACCGAGGTCTGTTGTTTGATAAACTGTCTTATTACAAACACCGCAAAGAACCGTCCTTCTGGAAGCAAAATTTAACACAATTGGACAATTCTTTTCCAATCGTACACAACCATCCACAGTAATCAGGTTTCGATTTCTATTGTCAACCCTTACAAAACGGCGCTTAAAAATTTTGAAAAAGTTTTGGTTCTCGTTGAATACTTGGAATTTAGTCCATCTATTTAGAATAATTTGTTTCCAAGCATTGTTCATAGAACGTCTGGTATTATCTTGTAAGGAAATTTCGAATAAGTTCTGAAAAGATCCTAGTGTTATCAGATTAAAGTGAAATTTGTTCAGATGTGAAATCTTCATTACATCAAATCCATCCAAATATGAAACTATATTAAAGAATGCATCTTCACATATCAATCCTCCAAATATTTCACCTGCATTTGTTGATAAAGTTGTGGAATTATTTGAGTCAATGACAAGTTAACCACCAAGTATCTTTTGACTTGTTTCTTTACAACTATCTCGAGTAGCAAAGATTTCATACTCAACCTGCAATGATTTTATCGTATTCTGTGTAATTCCTTTAAAAGTATTGAGATCAGTAGTGTTCAAACCCTTCAACTCAAAGTATGAAAGGTTTTTCTGAATGGAAAACATCCAATCTTCTCTCTTACGTTTGAATAATTTAAAATAGGGCAACTTGGTTGACAATTTTCTTGCATCCAGCGTAAGAAAACTAAATCCTTTCGTATTTTCATTCGCCAGATCAGTAATTTCAAATCCAGGTCGTTGAATTGTTGTCAAAATTCCATTAACAGTGACAAACAACCTCTTACTTTGAGGCGTGATTCCAAATCCCACTATTATAACCTTATTACTTGTTGATTTCCCATTCATCCGACATGAAACAAATCTTTCAGTCAAGGATTGAATAGTTAATGTTTTAAAATCTGAATCATAATAAAATCCTCTACCATTGGTTTCAAAAAGTCCAACAATTGAGCTAAATATTTCACCAGTAAACAAATAATAACCTATTCATCATCTTTTCATCATCAGCAAATGAATATATGAGAATAATCGATATTATTTGGAACTACAATTGCAAATTCATCATATATAATTGATGGAGGATTTTCTTGATTCGAATTGTTTGTTGTCATATCCGAATCATGATTGATTAAATTAATTCTATTAAAAGGGAAGGAATGAAAATGTTGGCCAATCCGAACGAACCAAGAAAGGTTATCCAACAGCAAATCATCATCATGTAGGTTTGGCTGATCATCACTTTTTTCCATTTTTTTTTTCTGTTGATTTTTTCTTTTCATTGTAAGAGGAACTCTGAACTCAAGTTCGTTTACAATATTTTTCAAGTTTAGCTTAATTTATGAAATTGTTTCCTTAATTTATAATTTTGCTTTCGATTTTTAATCAAAATCAATTTTATTGTAAAATAGAAAAAAAAATGCAACAAATCAAACGCTTGAATTACTTTTTTCCGAAACGATCAGCATCTTTACTTTCATTCAAATCATTCACATCATTAATCTCCTATGAAAAAACACTACTTTCATATGGTGGTAGTTGTAGAAATTTCAGCAATTTGATTTCTCCATTACGATTTTCTAATTTTCCATTATTAAATAATTCTCATCATGATCGGAATGATGAAAATAATGATGAAGTGAAAATGATGAAACGGAAGAGGATTGAAGAATTGAATGATATTCTTGAATTAAATCCTGATTTAGTGGATGCTCTTGTTGAAAGATCAAAATGTTATGAAGAGTTGAGTGATTGGAAAAGTGCTTGTGTCGGGTTAGAGAAGGTTGTTGAGATGGATCGACCACCAAACGATCTGTTACCAATTTTATTGGAAAAGTTGTATTGGTTATATACTAGAAAGGAGAATTATAATGTTAAGAGAGCTACAGAGTATTTTGAAAGATTATTTAACATTGTTTCGAATGATTCAGTTCAAATTCCATTTTTCTATTATGCTACTCTTTATTCACTGTATTTTGAATTGAATTTATTCGAAAAGGCTATATTTATTGCAACTGAAGGGATTAAATCCATTGAATCGAATGGTCCTGTTGAGATTGGAAGTGTGGAAGCTGATAATTTGGCCGAATTGTTATGCAGAAGAGGTAATTTATTGGTTACCAAGTATAACATGATGGATCGTGGACAAAAGGATTTGGATCGAGCTCTTTTATTGAGCTCATCAAAATACGAACCCCTAATTCTCATGTTAGATTCTTTCGAAAAGAAGAATAATCATGACCTCATGCTAAAGACCTATGAGTTAGTCAAGGAATTCGAAAAGAAGGAAACTAGAATGGATGAGAAAACTCTTGAAGAATATGTAAATTTACACAGAACCATGAAACAATACTTTTTGAAAAGAAAGGATTACAAAAAAGCAATTGAATGCATGGATAATTATTATACAGCTAATCCCAAAACCCTTTTGGAAAATCATGGCATGTATCGATATCTTTGCATGATTGTTGGAGCTTATCCTGAATTTATGGAAAGTACCAAAACCTATCTCAAGGTTTTTGGAGATATCACTGCAGATATTGAAAGTCATCCACCACCAGCATCATCTATTGAAGGAACTTTACAATATACCGCTAGTTTGAGTGCAATACATTTCTATTTTGATAGATTTGATGATGCTCTTAGGGAATGTGAAAAATTCAAAGTGCTTTTAGAGACACCTCAACCAATCTTTCCAAAAGAACATTTAATGGGTATCTACTATCTTATTTCAACCTTTTCACACATGAAAAAGGGAAATGAAAATCTTATTTTAGAGTTTGCAAAGGAAGCCAAAAAGTTTTATCCCAAAATTTTGAAAGATATTCCAGAATATTTTTATCAACAGGGAAATTATGGAATGGCAAGACTTTTTCACATGGAAAGTTACAATGAAAGCAAGGAATTGGAGGATTTAAGTAATATAGCAGATTGTTTAATTGCTGAAAAGGATTATGAAGGTGCAATTAGAGAGAGTGAGAAAATTCTTGAAATGGATCCAAATCACCATCTTTCATTGTTTAATTTGGGAGAAGCCTATTTCTATTTAAAAGATTTGGACAAGGCAAGACAATACTTTGACAAAGCTCTTGTTGGAGTAAACGAGGATAATGGAATGATTGTTGTATTGAAAGAAATCTGGCCACAATATTTCGAAATAAAATTTTGATTTTGAAACACGATGGCTAGTTCAATTATTACTCTTTGAAATTATTTTAATTTGACTCAAAGTCGATTGTCTATCCAATTACAAGTTCAGTGAGTGTTTGACATAACTTCATTTATTTATCAGTTTCATAAATGAAGATTAGTAAGATTTTCCAAAATTTCTCTAAAAGAAGGTCTGATATTAGAATTATTTTCCCAACACCGAGTAGCTAATACAGATAAGCCATACACAACGTTCTTGATTGTTTCAAGATTTTCTGGATATTCTTCTACTTGACTAAACATGAACTCTTTCACAAATCGATCCAATAATTCTGGAATAAACACATACTTTCTTGGTGGACTGTCAAGATGAGTTATACTATACTTGGCATAGTCAGAATCCAATAGGAAGGGAATACAGGGAGGTTTTCTTTTCAAAATTTCAAGTGAGGTCGTTGGTTGTTCAATATTGATTGTCATTTTCACATATTTAGAGTTTCTTTTCAAGAATTGTTTGATTGGTTCATAACTGTCAAACGTAGGAATACCCATCACTACTTCCCAAAGCAAAATTGCAAAACTGTACACATCACACTTTTCACTATAATCATCCAATTTCAACACTTCTGGTGCAATATACACATAGCTTCCTACTAATATTGACATGTGCTTTTGGACATTGGTGGCCAAATCAAATCCATAAATTTTGGCACAATCTTCATTCTCAGATATGATTATATTCGATAACCTTAAATCTCTGAATGCGACTGGAGGGTTCAAAGAGTGCAAATAATTCATACCTTTTGCAATATCTATGAGATATTCGAGTTTTTGGCTCAAAGAAATAGAGGATATTACTTCTTTTAGATTGTAGTTTGCAAGATCTGTTATATATAATTCACTATCATTCAATTTAACACTTCCAATTAGTCTAGAAATGTTTGGATGATCCAAACTAAGCCATAGATCTTGTTGCTTATAATGTTCAAAGTTATTTGTTTGGTCAATCATTTCAATAAGAACCATTTTGTCTTGATACATTCCTTGAAAGCATTTTCGATCATTTTTTTTCATTACTTGCTCCATTATGGTGATTTGGTCTGCTTGGATAATTCTGGCATTCATGAATATTTGAATGCGTTCCTTATGAGAAGTTAGGATTTCACTTCCCTTAGATCCATATAAATTTCCTCTAACATCCAACCGTTGTAAATTTTTCATAGAAACAAGGTATTCAATACCATCGTCTCCAATTTGATTATATGACACGCTTAAATTTTCGATATTTGACATGGTACTAATTATTTGTGTCATTGGGTCATCAATTTGAGTATTGGAAACATTAAGGGAGGTCAAATTCTTCATTTGAGAAATTATTATAATACTGTGTTGTGATAATTTTCGTCCTTCTATCGAAAGAGTTTTCAACGAACGAAATTTCATACAAGTAATGGTCAGATAGAATAGTGGAAAGGATTCTTCTTCCAAAAATACTTTTGACAAATTTAAATGATCATCAACAACCAATTTTGACATACTGTCTACATAATTATCCATTGAAAGTTCTATTCCACCTTCTAGCTTTAGATCTTTTTGAAATGTCAGTAGATAATTAATTAATTTAGGAACACATGAAATCTTGATATGTCTCAAATTAGAGGCAAATAGTGACAATCGAGCATCTGCATCTACAGCTTGGAAACTAATGAGTGAAGGTAGCGAAAGAGTAATACTCTTCAAAGTTGGAATATTGTCTAGTATCAAAATTTGTAAATAGGGAAATATTGGAATATTGATATCTGTTTCAATAATGTCATTCGAAAAGACAAATCTTTCAATTCTAGTGAAATGACCAAATATTTTCAACTTCCATTCACTTATATTTAAATACTCAACATTCACACAATACTTTTGTAAAATGAATAATGATTCCTCTTGTAAATTTTTACATCCTCTCAAATCAAGTGAGGTAATAAGTGGTAATTTCTCAATAAAAAAATGATTGGAAATGTGTTGTGAATTGAGAATGTTCGAATTCAATGCCACCAATTGTACAGGGGATGTTGTTGTGAATACTTTCTTAATATATTGTTCTTGATCTTTTGTAGACATGGTCTTTCCTGCAGGAATTATTTCTTGATTCTTGTGTGAATGATTCGATTGTAAAATTTTCAATTGTTCCAATGAATTTGTAGGTCCTTTGTTAAATTTCTCTGATTCTGACTTGATTGTTGCACTATCAATGTTGATAATTTCCATTATTTGCTTGCTAGAGTGAACAGAAATTCTAGAATTGTCAATCTTTTTCTTTTTGTAAAGTGTATCAGTGACAAGCATGAATCTGCGCTTAACAGACTTTTCCACAAAACTATCTCTGTAAATTTCTCCTACATAGGGTTCTAATTTACATAACAACTCAACTGGAGTAATTTTTGAATATGAAACAAGTAGCTTTTGAAGTAAATGAAATTTTCTGAAAAGGTTTTCAATAAAGATGGGACTGAAAACTAATCTCACGGTCACTTCCTTATTTTCCCAAAGATTATCCGATTCTTCTTTTGTGAATAGAGAACTATACTTATCATTCACAACCACTAATTCACCCATCCATTGTTGAAGAAATTGATCTACATTCATAGAGATTATTTGTTGAACCAAGTTTCTATGCAATGATTTTTTCATTTCATTCACACAAAATATCAAACTCTTAGTTTGTAATTGCGGAATAACTTTGAGAACAGTCTTGGAGAGAACTGATCCAGGGAGAAAAACATGCTCATTATCGATTGGTACTAATTGATTTCCGGCCAAAATGAAATTGTCTTCCTTTTGATCTTCTGGATTGAGAAGCATTGAGCAAACAATTAATAATCCAGTATTAAATCTATCCAATCCACCAATTTCTGCTCCAGCATTCCATAAATCCAACACTAATAATCCATTAACTGCCTCAGATATTAAAATTGGGAATCTCTCCTTGTGGGAGCTAAATATTACAAATTCACATCGAGGAATACCAGTAAGTCCCATTATTCTCATGAACAATGTGGATGCATGTTCAAATACTGGCATTTCTGGACATTTTTTAAAGAAGAATATTGGATTTTTGGCAGGATATTTGTTCACAGATGACCTGCCTGTCAAAGTGTTATCTTTCATGAATTCTCCATTATTGAAGAGAGCTCTTTCCATTTCTTTTGATAAATATCTTTTACCCATGAAGGCTCCTCTCATCTCTCCAAACTTGTACGGAAATCTCTTGTCATCATTATCATAATCTACTCTTGGAAAATAATCCTCAAGTTTGCATGCCCATTTTAGGTCTGGATTGTTTTCCAAAAATGGTTGAAATTTTGATTTCCATTCTTTTAAAAAATTGGCATACGTCTCTTTCAATCCAATTGCATAAATATTACAAGCCGTTTTGACATCTCTAATAAACACTAACTTGTCATTAATCATTATTGAAAGTGAAACAAGAACGTTTGTTAATGACAGCTTATTCTTCATGAATAACAAGGAATGGAATTGCAGTACAGCATCTTCATAATTAATCATCAATCGAACTTGGCTTAAAATATACTCATGGAATAACGACCATCCAGAAACATTCATTCTATCATGCTCGTAAAAGTAATAGCACTCGTCTGATCCTCCAGAAGTGGTTGTGAATTCCTCTTGATAGTTATGAACTGCATAGTATTGGTCATCGAGAGATTCGTATTGAGATGACACTTCCTCATACACCTTACTATGTAATGGATAACAGGAGGAGAATAAATCTTTCAGGGTTGAGTGCTTGTTTTCTTTCAACAAATTCTGAATCTTTTTCAACATTTGCATGATTGTTGTTGCAGTTGATTCACTGAAAGAGGAAAAGGACAAATCAAAATCTTCCCAAATTATCGAATCGAATTTACATTTCATAAATTCGAGATCATTCCACAGTCGTTTGTACTTGTCTTCCTGTCGAGCAAGTTCGTGAGTCCATTCTAGTAAAATCATTTCAGGAATAAGTGAGTCTAAATATATTCTATATTCAGAATCCACTGAATTATTCATTTCTTTCAATAAAAAAAGGAAAGATTTAACATTATAGTACTTGTTTTTCAGAACAGAAGGTCTGAATATCTCGTCATTATCTATTGAAATAAGGCCATACTTTTCATTACTCAGTTTTTTCATAATAAAATTATCAAATTTTCCATCGGATGGACTTGTGATGAGTGCTCCAATAACTTGTTGTGAGAAATGGTTCGTACACAATGGTAGCTTATTTCTAACAAGTGATATACCTGAATATCCTTCAATAGCTTGAGATATTTGAACAAAGAATGGATGTTCCCAATACGAATTCATCTTTTTCACGTTATCAATAACGATTAGTCCAGTAAAAGTAGTTTCAATTTGAATTTTGTGATAGAGACAATTGAGAGCAAATTCGCGAGAGGGTGAAAGTGGAGGATATGAAGTAAAGGGTTTAAAATAAATTTCAGGTTCTCCCTTTTCAGGCAAGAATCGAACTCGATGATTACTTTCGGTTTGTCGACTGTTAGAGGATTCTCCTCTTTCATTCAAACTGAGTATGCGTAGAGCCATATCTTGTGAAATTGAGAAAAAACCTTCAATCATTTCACTCATTAGTATTGCCTTATCCGTTGTCAATTGATAAAACTCAAAGTCACTTGTGATAGTTCTCAATTTCGTGGCATATGAAGAATAGTAATCTTCTAGTTTTTGAATTTTCTCTACCCATTCAAGTGCCTTTTCTCCATACCGTTTTAGTGACAATAAATATTGATGAAAGCTTTCCAACATCTTACTGACCACTGCAAATTCTTCCGCTGCTTTGTGAGCAGCAAATTGGATATTAAACTTTGCATTCGTTGTTCTATTTCTCTGATAAATTGTCTTATCAACTAATTGTTCGAGTGGAAGTAAATCATTGATTTTTCGTTGGTATTCCAATAATGTAGAGTCATCTATATTTTTAAATTCTCTTTTCAGAAAGTATTGAGTTTCTAATCTGATCTCGTGTTGAGCACCAGTTAATCTAATTACGGTTTCCATCATAAATCGTCTCTTCTTATCAAAATCACTTGCTATCTCACATTCCTCGTTATTCGAATTTTGATGGTGATAGCTCAAAATATATTCCTCTTGCTCATTTTTAACGCTTTCGCTGGATTCATCTAAAGTTTCCAGCCAATTCAATAAGGTATCAATATTTGGTCGAGCACTGACCTCCTTATTCATCATGGAAATAATAATTGTGGCCAATCGTTGACTATACTGACCAATTTCACACAAATCCCTTATTATTGTCTCCTCAAATTTAGTATCTTGACATAGATTTGCAAAATTGAAATTTCCGTATCTAAAAACAGTTGACTTGTCAATCATTAATTTGTACATGCATGCTCCTAATGTAAAAATATCACTTCCAAAAGATGCGACTTCCTCAGGTGGTGGATACAGAGACATTATATCATGATTTTGTCCATCCACTGAAAAAGACAACCCAAAATCAGTCAATGCCACATCTATATTCATCCCACCATCAAAACTCCTCACTAAAATGTTATTTGCCTTGATATCATTATGAACAATTGAATCTCCTTCTTGAATTTCCTTCAATGCTAGACATATTTGTTTCAAAATTGTACATAATACTTGTTCAGAGGGTTTAGAATCTCTAAATATTGTACTCAATGTTCCAAATTCACAAAATTCCATCTCAATACACAAATATAATCCAGATTTACATTCATTCACAATGAAAACCTCATCAATCCTAACAATATGTCTCTTGTGTTTGTATTTGGCCATTTTAACAGCCTCTCCGAGGGCTTCATTAATATTAAATCCCACAGAATGTCTCATAATTTTCAAAGCAATATAATTATTATTTTTCAATATTTTGTAAACTGCTCCATAAGTACCCGTAGCAATTAGTTGTTCTTTGCTTGATGGAGAAGAGTAGTGTTGGGCAAGATAGTCCAACACGTCTTGATGAATTAGTGTGGACATTTTTTTTCCATGACATTTGATGAGATTTGATGATTGTCTACAATTATGATTAATAATCTGTTATTGCATGAATTCTCGAATTAATGTTTAAATCCTTCAATAATTTATATCAGCTTCATGCTTCATTGGAAAGAGTATCTTCTTTATTCTTGAAGCCTGTTGTGGCATGATGATATTAAGGTTGTTGAGTTATTTTTTTTTTGTAACCCTCCAAAATCTTCATGATAATTTTGGTCCATGATTGCAATTAAAGAAGCTTGGGTACAATGAATGGTTTGTCTCCTAAGAGGGAATCAAGTATGCAATCGACGGATCGGGAGAGAGGATTTACATCCTCCTTAGCAATTTGATTCTTAATTTCGGAGGCCCTTTCTTTGATTCTTTGACTTTCATCACTTTCCAATACAAATTCAATGGAGGAATTAATCTTCTCATTGGTAATGTCCTTGAATGGAATGGGAGGAGAGGCAACTCCCAAATCATGCATTCTTTGAGCCCAGAATGGTTGATCCATAAAAACAGGAAGTGGAATTTGAGGAATACCAGCAATGAGTGCTGTTCCAGTTGTACCAGCTCCACAGTGATGAGCAATACAAGAGCATTTTGGAAAGAGGAGATAGTATGGAGCTTCCTTGATGATTAATAATCTGTCCTCTTGCATGAATTGTTTCAATTGTTGGATTAAGTTTGTATATTTTCCAGATTCTTCATTTGAAAATTTGTCTTGATTATGTTCAAATTTACGTTCATTTAAATCTTTCAATACCTGATCCATTTCAGTCCATCCTGTAATGCATTATTACAAGTTGCCATAGTCATAATTTTGAGCATAATCCTAACTACTACATACCACAGGATAAGATTACTCTCCTATTAGCGTTTACAGAGAGAACATGATGGGTGAGTTCAAATAATTGGAAAGGATCTGGTGCAGGCATAGATCCAAATGATAGAAATATTGGCTTTTCCTTTCCATCCTTTACAAATTCTTCAATTTCAGACTCTAATTTTTCATTTTCCAATTTCAATTCCAAATATCCAATCAAATTAATATTATCCCTGTAACCATTTGGTGTCTTTCCTCCAAATGCCATCTTTGAAAAGGCATAACAAATTGGCATGTCATGATCCTCCTTCAAAGACAACCAATCCTTTCCTTTCAATTTTTCCAAACCAAGGCTCATTCGTTGATTGTTTATCATTTCCTCACTTCTGGCAGCTGATCCCTTATAGACTGAATCGTAGGAAGCCAAGTTCTTCTCTGGGCTACCAAGAGAGACTGGTGAAATTACACAGAATGGAAAATCACTTGTTGGAGCCTCTGGAACTAATCCCAAGTAAGCAATTGGTATCTCATACTTCTCACTCAACATCCAAATAATTGGCATTCCCATCGAACAAGTGATTAATCCATCAAACTTGATTTCCTTTACCAATTCAAACATGTCGTTTGTACTCTTTTCCATTAGAATTTGTCCTGGACGAGCTGTTAAAGCCATCAAAGTTGCATAATCACCAGTTTTCAATGCTTGTTGCGTTCTCGGATCTTGCATTGTTTCCTTTGGATTTCCACTTAATCCTCTGAATTGTAATCTCGCAGCCAACTTGTTTGATTGTTGAAGAATAGATTCATAATTATTCCGATAAATTTCGCTGGCAATTAAATAGACTTGATCATCAACAAGTTGTTGTTGTAATTCCAAAGCAAATGCAAACATTGGCTATGATGTGAATAATATATATCACTCACATCAAAATTTAAATCAATCAACAACCTACCTGAAAATCACCTCTATTAAATATTTAATATTTAATATTATTTTCATAATAATTGGTAAAGATTGAGATTTACCTTGTTCCAATTGTTAAAACACCAAAATTTCTCATTTTTTTGAAAGTGAAATCAAATCCAATTATAAAAGTAAATTATTAATAGTCTTTGTATTATTCAAGAATGAAATTGATTTCGAATGATGGACGAGATTTCCACTCCTCATAATATTTCATCAACTTTTGATTATATACAACAGAGTGTATTCTTCTCATCCAAGAAAATCTACAATAACAGGCGCCCAATCACAAGACCTTATTTCCAAATCAATAAAAGGTCATTAATTTCACCTCCCTACAATAAACAACAATTAAAAAAATGAAAAGCTTGAAGAGCCTTCTCTATCTAGCTCTAGGTATTACTTGCCTGTTGGCATTTGTACTTGTGGATGTTCATGCATTAAGCAAAGTGATTAAAGCTAAACCACTCAAGGTTGTTCAAAGACAAGTAGCTCAATTGACCTACAAGAAATGCGAAGCTTTGGGCGATCCTCATATGTTGAGCTTTGATAGTAAAAGATTTGACTTTATGGGACTTGGTGATTATATCCTTGCTCAAAGTAATGATGATGAATTCATTGTACATATAAGGTAATTTATTATGAAAATTAGAATTAACTTACATCTTGTTTTAAAGAACTTCAAAGTGGGCAGCTGCCTCTGTCAATTCCAATGTTGCTGTAAAATTGGGTTCTAAGGTCTTTGAATATGATGTCAATGCTGATGTTTTCTATATTGATGGTGTTCAAGCTCCTCTTGCTGTTGGTGAAACCAAAAAGATTGGTTCTGGTTCTGTCAATAGAGTCAATGCCCAAACTGCTATTGCTACTGCATCCAATGGTGCCAAGTTGACAATGTCTTGGTATCGTAATCAAGCTTGGCAAGCACAATTGGGTTCTGTTGGATACATTTCAGTTGTTGTTGATGCTCCTCAACCTCTTTCATTCACTTCTGGTTTGTGTCTCAATGTTAATGAATCTAAAAAGACTGCCACTGGTATTCTCCACAATCATTTACAAAGAAAACTCACTCGTACTGTCAAACTCAAGAAAGAAACTCCAAAGAGAAAGGAAGCAGCCAAGAAGGTTTGTAAGAAGGCTGGTTTGAATGAAAAGAAGCATCCAGTTGCTTGGAATGCTTGTGTCAAGGATACTATTCAATCTGGAGAAAAGATTGGTGCTCAAATTGGTAAAACAATCAAGAAGGTCCAATCTGCTGAAAAGAAGGAATTGAAAAAGACAATCAAGAAGAAGGGTAAGAAGGCAATCAAGAAGGTCAAGTCTATCATCAAGCAGGAAGAAAACAAGACCAAGAAACTCAAGAAGGCTGCAAAGAAGGCATTCAAGAAGGCAAGAAAGGTCAAAGCTAAATGTGCCAGAAAAGCTTTCAAGAAGGTCAAAAAGATGGCCAAGAGGGTAAGAAAGTCTGAAAAGAAGGTCAGAAAGGAAAAGAGACTCTTGAGAAAGATTCAAAGAAAGCTCAAGAAGGGTTCTTTCAGAAAGGGTGGCAAATCATCTTCAAAGAAGGGTGGCAAAAAGAGAAGAACTCCAAAGTGTGTCAGAAAGCTCAGACGTTACCAAAGAAAGGCCAAGAGAGCAATCAAGAAGGCAAAGAAAGCATTCAAAGCAACCAAGTCTGGATCCAAGTCTTCAAGAAGAAGAGCCAGAAAAGCAAAGAGAGCAGCCAGACGTGCCATCAGAAAGCTCAAGAAGCAAGCCAAAAAGGTGTACAAGCACTTGAAGAAGGTAATCAAGAAGGCCAAGAAGAACAACAAATCCAAGAGGGTTAAATTCTTGAAGAAGTTCTTGAAGAGAGTAAAGAAGATTGCCCAATTCAAGAGATCCAAATCTGAGAAGAAGATTGACCGTATGGCTCGTCGTGTTTTTAGACAAGCTCGTAGACTTGCCAGAAGAGCAAAGAAAGCAACCGAGAAGGCTAAAATCTTCAAATCCAAAAAGTCTCAAAAGAAGGCTAAGGAAGCCAATAAGAAGGCCAAGAAGGCATTCAAGAAGATTAAAAAGCAATAATAAATAAAAAAATCGTGATTCATCAAATGTGTTGTATTAAATTTTTTTGAATTATTTTTTAAAACATTTTGATTTTTTTTAAACGTTTGAAATGGCGGCATAAGTAACGTTCATTTATTTAAAGTTTGAATTGGCCCCAGACATGATTTGATTCATGAGAATGACATATTCAAAGGCAGCATCCCACCTATCCAATTCTTCTTGTGAACTGTAGCAAACATAGAAAGTTCTCTTCTTACAAACAACCTCCAAACAGAAGGGATAATTCTTGTTGGATGTGAATTTGTCATCTGTGTTTTGTTTTACATAATCGATGGTATCAGATGGGATGGTATTCTTCATCTTTTTCTTTTTCAAAGATTTGGTTGTTTTGATTTGGAAATATCCAAAATATTCAATGGTAAGAAGGAAGTATCTTTCAGTCCAACTCTTTCTCAATTTTCCTTGTTTGAGGCCCATTCCATCACAAATGATAATTCCCTTTCTAATTTCCAAAGCAAATGAAATCATTTTGGAGATGTGATCCAATGTAATATTGTAAGGAAGAGTGAGTTGAGGGAAGTTCAATAGACGAGTCCAAATTTCAATAGCATTTTGAATGTGTTTGTCCGATTCCTTTCCAAATTTTGATCGAGACCAGAAGAAGTAAACTTCTCCGAGTACTGCCATTGCAACCATGTGGCTTGGTTTTGCTTCCAAAACCTTGTTCAATGAAACAATAGACACTGTGAACAGTTCATCAACTTCCTTCAGCATTCTCTGTCTATTCTCGTCAATCATACTTTCAGATAGATTTTCCACTTCTGATTTTTGGGTCTTTTTCTTATCATGTTGTTTGATTGTGTTAACCATGTGTGATTCGCTCGAAGAGGTTATGCTGGTTGTTTTCAGTGCTCCCATTTCAAAGTAGAGTTGACTGTGAAACATTAAAAGATCAGTATTGGTTTTCGTTGTCAGTGAAATACACTTGTCAATTGCTTCGATGGCTTTTTCCATCAGAGCTTCTCTTGTTAAGATAGTTCTAATGTTAATCTCACCAATTTGATCAGAGTAAATTAAACTATATCTCAATCTCAAATCATCCTTATTATTCTCATCGAGAATGACAGTTTTGGAGGATTGATCCGAAATAACTTTTCTATTATTTTCTCTGAGAAGATCCTTCTTATCATTGAGCATTCTATCTTTAAAAAACATATCATGCCACGATAAACTACTAGATAGAACTTCAGAACGAGAGGTAGTTCTTGAACGTTCTCCTTCCAAATTGTCATAGGTCTCCAAGTAATCATTGAAAGAGAGAATGGATGCAGTTGGTATCAAGAGTAAGGCATATTCATAAATAGAATTGGAAAGTCTGAAATAATAATGAGGATTAATGGTATGCTCTGGAATGGCCTGGAAAGCTTTTGATTTGCGTTCCTCCAACTCACAAACACATTCCCACAATTTCACACATGCCTTACACAGTTTTTCTGCATCGGTGGCTACTGAATTTTTGAAAATGGATTGAGCATGTCGAGGAACATTTCCTTTTTGAGAAGTTTCAGGAGTTGATCCTGATGGTGATGAAGCATCAGTTAAGGCATTTGGTCGAATCTCTGAATACGTGGCTTCAATTTCTCCAATAGAATCCACAGCAACCATTGTTGAATCATAGTCGAAACTTGCCAAATTAACATCTCCTGAATTAGCATCACCAGAGTAAATGGTAGTGTGTTCTCGTTTTCTTCTAACCCAATAAAGTAATAATACAGAATATTTGTACAAGCATTGATGATGGAGAGCAGAATAAATGCATTGATTATCAGTGAACTGTTCCACTCCTCTAGTATTAATACAAATGGTCTTTTCTCGATTTAAACTTGGCAGTATCTTGTCAATGCAAATTTTGATACTGATATTGTACTTTTCCTGTGCTCTGGAACACAAGGCAGCCCATCTCTGTTTTCTTCTAACACTCCACTGTGTGAGAACATCCCCAAAATACATATTCATGTAGGCTCTCTTTGATTCCTGAACAATATCCACTGGAGTATTCTCTTCTGATTCCTGATCCACTTTCTTCTTCCTCTTCACTGTTGATTTTTCAAAGAATTTAATGGCAGAATCCATATGAAGACAAATATCCTGGAAAATGCTATCAACTTGCTGTTGTGCTTGTTGAGCTGCTTTCTGTGAAGTATTTCCTCGAGGACTAAATGATGGTGAGCCACTTCCTTGCTTTAAATTTGGATGACTATTACTATTAGGTGATCCATAACTCGAATTTCTCAATGGAGAATCCAAAGAAAGAGCCATGAAATTATCAGAAGATAATGAATGACTCATTCCCACACTAGTTCCATAATAACTACCAATTACTCCAGGAGCAGAGAAGGTTTCCTTTGGAGAATTATTTGAACCAATCTGAATTGGAGATGAAGTACTAATTGACTGTGAACTAGTAGTGCTTGATGTTGCAGTTTTCATACCAATTGGCTGAGACATGGCAGCCATCACTGCAGATTCCTTTTCCAATTCATCAGATCTAGGAAATGACAATTCGAATAAAACTCTTGCCAATAGAAAATGCAACTCGGCTTGCAAAACAAAATCCAAAGCCAACTCTCTATTCATTTCACATGAAGTAATGGCATTTCTCAATTTATATTCTGCTCTATTCAACAAGTAAACAACTTGTTCATTGTGATTGATAGATACTTTCGTAGAGCATTGCAATAATGTTGCATAGGCAAAAATATACGAATGTAGAGGAGAGGAAGATGATGATGTAGAGGAGGAATTGGAATTTGGAGGAGGAGTGGCTATGGAATTTGTAGTTGGAAGTGTTGTTGATGATAATGTTGATTCGATATTTTCCAAATCTTCCAAAATTTGTTGTGAAATTTGTGCTCGTTTGTTTAAATCAATCGAAAGTGTTGCAAAATTTAAAAAGTCTAAAATGTGAATGTTTTCATGATCGATGAGTGATGATGAGGAGAGGAGGGAATGTCGCTGTTTTTGTTGTTGTTGTTGTTGATTATTTTCAATGTTTCCAATATTGTTATTCGAATCCTTGCATTGTAAATATTGGAGAATATGTGAATTGTTAATGCTGTACGGAGGCTCATCTATATATTCAAGCTGTGATTTAAAATCTAGAAGAGAATGATCAGGCAAGACATTTGTGTTGACAGATGTCATTTTTTTTTGGTGATGGAAAGTGTTCTTGTGGCTTTTTTCCTTGTTCACTTTTGAAAAGGCCGGTGTAACGGGGATTACAATGATATTGACAGAGTATTGAATTGATATTTTACAATTTTAACATTATTTCCAATAAATTTATTCGAAACTAATGTTTCCTATTCTAAACCCAACTCAAATGGTAAGAATTCCAGGAAAGTAATTGTCTAAATTGTTCCCTCAATTATCTTCTCCAATTCTATTATTTGAAATATAAAGTTGAGTCAATTGTTTCAATTTACTAATTGACTTGGCACAAAAGGACCTATTCGAATCTTCTTCTCAAAAATTTGCAATGAAATCAAATTCTTCAGTCCACCAATTAGCATTGCACCTTCATCTCCAATCCTATTATAGGAAATATCCAAAGCAGTCAATTGCTCAATTGCTTCATTTGGCCAATTATAATTGCTCCTTCCAAACCAAGTGAATTTTCAAAGTTTGTTCTCATTTTTCAATTCTTGTAGGATGGGAATTCCTGATTTTTTACTAACACGCGTTCATAGCCATAGTTCGATGGTTTGTGTAAAAATTTACTTTTTGAAAATTCACGTTTGTTCTGAAAATGGATGGCCAATTTCGAATAATTTAATATGATACTATTCCATTGTTTGGAAATGAGTGTGCAGGTGGATAGGATCAATTTCCAGTCAATGAAGGATTAGTATTTCATAGCAAGTATCATCATCAGAAAATATTGGGAGTTGTCTTGGTTACTGGTGTGTGTTTGACAGTTTTTAAAGTGCCAAGTCGGAAAATAAATCATAGCATGGACACCCACCAATTTGGAAGTAAATTACAATACCTGTGGTAAACTCTTATTGTTGTACGTTCTTGTTGGAAATAACTTCAATCCATGCATGATTTAGAACGCAAATTGAATTTTTTGATTGAGATTTTGGGAGGACATTGGTGGCGGAACATGTATCCGACAATTCCTACACTCAAACCCGATCAATTCCGATTTAAATATTTTGGATTCTTCTTGCAAAATGAAAATTTCATCTAAAAAAATAGAAAGAAATGGAAACCTTGTTTCAACTTCTTACTCAATTGGTAGTTGGTGTGGCTGCACTTGTGGCAACTGTCTTGTTTATTAGTTTGTGGATGGTTTATCAAAACTATTCGAAAGCAAAGCACATTCCTGGAGTTTGGCAATTTATCGACAATTCCCCATTCTACATTCCAATCCTTGCTCCATATCATTACATTGGATGTGAATATTGGTTATCAAATTATATCAAGGGAAGAGCAGATAAGGAAACTAACACATTTAGAATTTCTACCATGTTTGGAAATCGTATTTATGTATCAGATAGAGAAATGCTAAAAGAATTACATGGCAAAAAGCTTTCTCTCTTCCCAAAAAGTTCAGTTGTTTATGAGATTACTGAAATTTTCGGTCAACATTTAGTTTCTGCTCCTGATAGCGAAAGTTGGAAAAAACACCACAAGGTCATTTCTCCAGCTTTTAATTCAAATAACTTGGAATTCATGGCAAAGGAAACATCTGATGTTGTTGATATCATTACCAAGTATATTTGGGATCCAGTTATTGAAAAGGAAGGTGGTGTGATGGTTGACACTACTAATTTATTTACTAATTTGACATTGGATGTGTTGGCAAGATGTAAGTTTTCAAATTTATGTATTTATTAGTTAAATCAATGTGAAATAGCTGTATTTGGAAGTGGATTTTCAATTTTTGTGCCACCAGAAAAGGAAAATTGTGAAGATACCAAAAAAGGAAGAGAAATGAAACAATCTGTCGACAAGATTTTCTTTGTTGGTTTTCTTTTGAACATATTCTTCAAGAATAGATTCTTGAGAAATCTCTCTTGGAAGATTTTTGGAGTTGACGTTCATCGTGAAAAATTCCTTAATAAGGTTAAAGAAATTATTGCTTTGAGAACTAGAGAAATTGAGAATGGATCTGAAACGCAATCCAATGATGTCCTATCACTCATGATTAGAGAAAACTTCATTAATAATCAATTAACTGAAGGAGAAATCTATTCTAATTCATTGGTGCTTTTTATTGCTGGAACTGATACTAGTTCCAATACACTTTCTTGGTTTTTTTATGAAGTTGGTAGAAGACCAGATATTCAAAAACGTATCAGAGAAGAAATTGATAGAATTCTTCCAAATGGAAAAGCTCCAACCTTAGAAGATTACAATTCCTTAATATATTTGAATGCCTGTATTATGGAAACTTTGAGATGTCATCCACCAGTTGGTTCTGTATTCAAGGAAGCTTCCAAATCTACTCATCTTGGTCCAATTCTCATTCCAAAAGATTCCATTGTCCATTCATTCATCGCCTATTCCAATAAGAATAACCAAATTTGGAACAATGCCAATATTTTCGATCCAGAACGTTTCATGGATGAAGAATACTTGAAGAAAACAAACTCTGATTATTCCATGCTTCCTTTCTCCATGGGAATAAGAAAATGTATCGGATACAAGTTCTCTCTTGTTGAAACTTGTTGTGTCTTGGCGAGAATGTTGCAAAGTTATGAAATTGAATTGTTGAATGATGAAGTCAATGATCCAGTTGGTTATGTTGGACAAATTACTTTCAGACCTGGTAATTTAAAGATTAGAATGACAAAGAGAGTTCAATAAAAACTGTTATTGTGAGTGTAACAATATCTAATTCAGTCGTCTTGCTAATGGCATAATAAACTAGGGGACAATTCTTCAATTTGCTCTCAACTTGTCAGAGAATCATTTAGACAACCAGAAAAATTACCAGTTTGGTTTTGATTCCTCTTGTTGTCATAGCTTCATTCCAATTCCTTCATACAAGTTGGAGAGTAAGCACACTCTGTATCTTAATATAAGTGACATCTAAAGTATATATAATTTCATTGATGAATATTTACCACCAGAGTGGTAGGGAGAGAATTAAATACATTTTTTAGTGAGATTTAACATTTCAATTTTGTAATTACACTTGTTAATCATGGTCTTGGTTGACATTGTCATCATCCATTGGTTCAACAGCGTCCATTAAGTGATGATTGACAAAGGATTCAGCAAGCGGATCAGCATGATATTTTGCAAGTAAGAGATAGGTTTGGCAAAGACCCTTTCCTTTCACTTCAACTTGTCTTTCCTCAAATTCCAAACCTAAATCATGAACTCGTTCATAGGTTGATCGTGATATGTGAATTCTTCCTGCTAGTGAGGTAGATTCCATTCTGGAAGCCATATTGATTGTATCACCCCACAAATCGTAGGCAAACTTTTTCTTTCCGATCACACCAGCAACTACACTACCAGTGTTAATTCCCAATCTGATATTGATACGGCTATCTGGATGATTTTCATTGTGAATCTTGATAACATCAAGGCAATCGATGGAAAATCTGAGAACACGTTCAGGGTGATCTGATTGAGAGTTGTTATGACTGGTTATTGAAATAGTTAGATGGTTATCATTTACAGTTAAATACTTACAGTCCACCCACACAGAAATAAGCATCTCCAATAGTTTTAATCTTTTCTAAAGTGTACTTGTCAGTCAAGTCATCAAAACCATTTACAATTTCATTCAACATTAACACTAAATCAGAAGGATTCATATTGGAAGATAAACTTGTAAATCCGACCCTATTTTAATTGCTTAGTAAAAATGGAAATACTATGAAACTACTTACATATCAGAGAAGAAACAAGTCACATCAGTAAATCTTTCAGCAATGAAGGTATCTCCTGATTTCAATTTACTGGCAACTGCCTCAGGTAGAATATTTCTCAATAATGCTTCAGAGTTCTTCTTTTCTTCTGCTAATAGAGCTTTTTGTTTCTTTTCAGGAGTGATATCTTTAATGAAACAGACCATGTACTTTGCACCCTTGTATCTGGTAAT